AAAGAAAGAGAGAGAGAAAGAGAGAGAGAGAGAGAGAGAGAGAGAGAGAGAGAGAGAGAGAGAGAGAGAGAAACAAAGAAAGAAACCTAGACAGCCCACTTTTTTTATTTTCCTTTGAATATTTGTGATAATTCGAGCAACGCTAAATAATTTATGTTAATAGAATGCATAGGGTGAAGCAACAATTTTCACCTTAAGTATTTTCGAAGCAAGGTACCAAGATGACCTTAAGACCTCTGAAGCTACCTTTATCAGAAAAAAAGCGTAACCATTATACACCGAAAAAATTCTATAGTAAAAATTTCTACAGGATTTTGCCGTAATCAACTTGTAAGAAATAGATCGATATTCTACAGTTTTCACTAATTTTTTCATTTCATATATATTACTTATAGTTTAGGAATTAATATATGTTATTGAAATACCTTGCTATATTTCTAGCCAAAGCTACTATATTTCTAGCGAAATTTCCTATGTATATTCCTTAACAAGATATATCTTACTGAAAGTCTATTCTTGGACTACTAAAACATAGTAAAATTGGAAGAAATTATATGAATGGAAAAACTATAATATTTTTTTCGTAAGAAGTTTTTTTCTAAGTAGCATAGCTTAAAAAATCTGAAGATCTTTTGTTTCTCGCTTCAAAGATATTTCAAATGTCAATAGTTATTGACTCATTTTGTATATTCAATATATGTACATATATTTTACGTTGAAAATTTAAATATCCCTATTTAAAGATTAAAACAGTACAAATGTCCAAGATTAGATACATGGTTGATTTTTGCCTTACCAACTGCGCCGCGTATTATAGCGTGAGAGACGATTGCGCGATGCTAACGAATTTTCTTCAGTTGTCTTCTTCGAGGCAGATAGTTGCCGAAGAATAATCGAGGATGTTAACGCTCGTTGTTTTTCTGTTAAATTTTCATAGAAATCTAGGTATCAAAGGGAAATAGGAAGTTCTCGTTAGATGTCTAAAAAAATACCGAGTGAATGTTGGTCATTCGTAAAAATGATTAATCTTACGAAATTGGACTTTCTAATTTATTTGACAAACACGACGAACCTCTCGAATAATATATTCTTGAAATTCGAGATGCACATCGGACCTGTCTTTGGCATTCCTCAAATTTTTTGAGTCTTGAAATATTGTAATGTTTTTCACATTCAACCGATTTTTCATTGAATTGTACATTTACACAATTCCGCGTCGCCAATTTAGACGTTAGTGATTGCGCGATGACGTGCAAAATGTCTACTTTCCACGAAGTCGATTTTCGTTCTGTGAACAGGTTCGTGGAAATGGAGGAGAACGGCCGCGGGGAGACACTCTGCAAAGTCTGCGGGGACAAGGCTTCAGGAAAACACTACGGGGTGCCGAGCTGCGACGGATGTCGCGGCTTCTTCAAGCGGTCGATCCGTAGGTACGCGAGGTAATTAACTTCAGGTCTAATTAAACTGTCCCGACAGCAACATAAATTTTGTCCCCGTGACATGGTCCTTCCACGATACCACGTTATTTATTCGCGATGAACACGAGTCATTTATAATCGTGCAGAGTGATTAACATAGAGAATATGCGCGTATTGGGAATTTTCTTAAAGACCCTCGAGATTGTACGTGTGCATTGTATGTAGAAATCTGGACTACGTGTGCAAGGAGAACGGGCGCTGCATCGTGGATGTGTCGCGACGCAACCAGTGTCAAGCCTGCCGCTTCACGAAGTGCCTTCAGGTCAACATGAAACGTGACGGTACGTACCGTTCCTTCCGGAATGCGACTGGCAAAGACTCGAAAATTATTGTTCTTTGCATTAATTTGAGGCTTGATCGCCGGAATTGCCGAGTCGAGCATGCATTATCCTCATCCTTATTCTCTAAATTTCTTAGACTAAAATTTTATTCAAAAAGTAGAACGACCACTCGAATTCGAGCGATTTTCCCTTCGTATAGAGTGAATTCTCTACTCTGAATCGTAGAGGGAATATTTGAACTTCGACAATTTAAGTACAGTCATCAATTAAACGGTTTTTCATTGAATCGTCAATGAAAAGTCAATGACACAACTTCGAATAATTTTGCTTGAATCAATTGTCAATTAGTTGGACTGAAACATATTTGATTAAGTCAATTATTAAACTAAGAAAAATTTAATTGATGTTTTTACAACTTTGATTTACTCTTGTGATTTTGAGTGACAGTAGTTTCACCATTGCTTAAAATAAAAATGCTGCCTCGTTTTGAGTGAAATTCCACTTTAAAAAATTAAGAAAGTATCCTTACACTAGGAGAAAAAAATATCTATAATATAAATTGTGACGTTTTAATTTTTTTAATTCTTAAGATTTTTAAGATTATTTCTAAGAAAAAATTTTCTTAATAGCGATAATAAGTAAATGAATATGTATGTGTATATATATTGAATTTTGTGTTTCGCGCGAGAAATCGAATCCATCACAAGTGAAAAATTACGAATATTTTATAATAATTTCTTTTCTTTTGTGATGCAAGGATATATAATTTATCTGTCAATTTTCCTCTTTTCACTTTTCTTTCAATCTTTCACTCTGACAGAGAAAGATATGCGGAAGTGAAAATATAAATAGAGAAAAGATACGTGCAGATTGCAACGCTCGCGATTGCTGGAGCCGCAGGACGGCACTCGACGTGTTTGCGCGGAAATATCCAGCGGAGTGGCTAAGCGAGAGACGGGTTCCGTTTTCTGACAGTCGCAGATCCTCCCGTAGCATGACAAGTCAAACCGTAACGGAGTCAAAACGTTCCTTCAACGTTCTATTACCTCGCCCTTTTTGCGCTACTTCCGAAGCGATTTGCGATCCCTCGCGTCTTGGAGCGCGTGAAAATCGAATCGTTGCCTTCGGAAACGCGCCAAGTCTAATTTCTATCGACCTGACGGCGTCAGATGAGGAGAAATGACGATCGCGATTTTTTTGCAGAATTTCGAAAAGGAGATTTATCGATTTTTCAAAAATGAAATTTTAATGTCGACGGGGATGAAACAACTAAGACAGCGGATTATTCCGCTCCCAGAAATTAACGTGTCATCCCCCGTAAAGATAGTCACGTTGCCACGACAGCGAACTCTCAGATACACTCCGCAGAAAGTAGAATGTGATCGCGAAGTGTGTTGCTGGTTGAATATTACAATGCATGGCGACGTGTCTCGCTCGCGGCGGAAGGGAAACGGCCCGGAAAAAGCGCGGTGTCCACATCCACACGCACAGACAAACCCATACACAGCCGCGTCCACATGAAACTCTATATTTCTGCTTACCGAACGGCAAGATCCGATGGCGAGCAGTGTCAGAAGCAGCCTGGCGCGTTCACAGCTTTTGTAAACACCTCCGAGCCCCTTACGCGTCGAGCGATAATCCAAACACTTGATTGCTGAGATATCAATTAGTGAGGGCAGAGAGGCAGAGGGAGGTGCCGCTAAAGGGCCGCTGCGCTCCCCCGAGTCTCTCTTTCAGCCGTCTATCTTGTACACGCGCAATCGGACAGGGTAGTTGGCTGTTGCTCTTCGTAACGTTGTTTCTGTGAAGCACGAGATTGCCCTTCGGAGTTTTGATCCGAACGCTTGATGATTCTCCATTTATGTGTCCACATATTTATCCATCCGTTCGCAGCATGTTGCAATTACCATCTATATGGATCTGCTCTAAATTATCTCACAATATTATTATCCTCTAGATACCTAATTACCATATTCTGTTTTTAGCTAGACTATCATTGCAGTTCTCTCCCTATCTCTGATACTATTGGAAGTACAAATTAGTTCGGTCCGTTTTCAAAAGATGGCTCTGGCTGTTATGAATGTTTCATAGTGACAGCTGATTTCGGTGGTTTCAAAGAGGTTAGACATCTGTCAATAATATTCAGTTTATATCGCTTTGAGTTTCATACAAAACCCCTGTTTTTTACTGTGTTGAATATGTCAAATTTTGTGTTAACTAAGCAGCATTTGCGGGAGGTTTTAGTTTTCTGCTTTAATTGGAAGAAAAGTGCAGCTGAAGCGCATCGAATGCTTGTAGAAGTTTATGGTGACAATGCTCCAACTGATCAATCATGTAGGGAATGGTTTCGACGTTTCAAGAATGGTGATTTCAGCGTTGAAGACAAGCCTCGCTCTGGACAGCCAAAAAAATTCGAAGACAAAGAATTGGAGGCATTACTCGATCCAAGTCAAAAATCAGTATAGGCTACAATTGATTCGTTTAAGCCGTGCATTACGAGAAAAACGGCCGGAATACGAGCAAAGACATGACAAAGTTATTCTTCTGCATGATAACGCTCAGCCTCATGTCGCAAAAGTCGTAAAAAATTATTTGGAAACGCTCAAGTGGGATATTTTACCGCACCCGCCGTATTCGCCGGACATTGCTCCTTCTGATTACTGGTTGTTCCGATGGATGCAGCACGATTTGGTAGGTCACCGGTTCACTTCTTTCGCAGAAATCGAAAATTGGCTCCTAACTTGGATCACCTCAAAAGACGAGACATTTTTTCGAGATGGAATTCGAAAATTGCCTGAAAAGTGGAAAAAAGTAATAGCCAGCAATGGACAATACTTTGATTAATCTGTTCATTCATTTTGTTCTGAAATAAATGCATTTTTGACCAAAAAAAAAACGGACCGAACTAATTTGTACTCCCAATATTATTATTATTTATTTATAAAAAAACTTATAAGAAATATAAACAGTTTTAAAAAATATCAAAAGCTCTAAAAAAATATGAAATAATTCTGAATCAATATCCTTGCGTATTTATAATCCTTTTTTAAATTAAATTCTATTATAATGTTAATGATAACAGTCTTATATGCATATTACTATAATTTTCGTGTTAGAGCAACCAAAAAATATGATTGGAGCCACAAATAATTATAATTTTAGTTAGATCAATCATTTTTCATTCACAAGGGAACATAGGCAACCTGAAAATTTAGAAAATTCTGAAACTTTGTGTGTAAGTAAAGTAGTACATCCATAACATACAACTATTTTTTGTTTCTGCTAAATTTCGATTTAAGGGGGTGAAACCACCCTTCGAAAAAACATAATATTTTTATTTTTAGTGAATATTTCCTAAAATACAAGGCATATGAAAAAATAGTTTATATAAAAGTGATAGAATATTTTATACTCTTTGCAACGGTGTATTCAAATCTTGCAAAAATGAAAAATTTTTGAACCCCCCTTTCCCCACTTATTGGTTTTGAGAGGTGGTTTCACTCCCTTAAATCGAAATTTAGCAGAAACAAAAAATAGTTTTATATTATGGATGTACTACTATACTTGCGCATAATATTTCAGAATTTTCTGAATTTTCGGGTTGCCTATGTTCCCTTGTCAGTATAGGATTGTAGGTAAAGAATATTGATTCAAAATATTTTTTAGTCTGAAGGCGGTTTCTCCTTTTTTCACTCTGTTTCTTACTTCGTGCTTTTTAATTTTATAAATATATAATAATAAATATTTACTAAAAATTTGCTTTCAGTTAAAAATAAAATTTCGTCTAATATCTTTAGATGTTCTCTTTTGTTTTTTCAAGTCGACTAACAAACGTAGATTGTTATAAATGAATAATAATAATACTGATGTACTATTTTATATTTTTACTATCATGATTGTTGTATTATATTAATATGCAATTAAAGAATTATGAATGACTAAATGTGGATTTGTGCGGTTAATAATTACGTGAGCTTTTAACGTTACCGTCATTTTCAGCCGTGCAACACGAAAGAGCACCTAGGAGCACATCCTCCCTCGTCGCAGTGGCGAGGAGGACACCCTCAGGGCTTTACACGGGCATTCCAAACGTCTATCATCCCGCGGGCAGCGCCTACCACCCTCTCCTGTATCCCGCGTTGTTCCCCTTCAAGCCCACGGTGCCGACATTCGCACCGTCAGTCGGTGAGCGATGAATCGTAAAACTGATATCTACGTAAAAATAATCGAGTCGACGTACTTCCTCTTTGCAATAAAATCTCTCGTATTGATTTGGTCAGCGCACTTCTTGCCACGACCGCCCGCGGAATCCTTATCCATGACTACCGGCAAGGAAGACGAAGTTACCAGTTCCGAGGAGGCCAGCACCGTCGACGTCAGAATCGAGCCGAAAGGTACGAATTACTTACTATAATTTCTTTCATTTTATCGCTCGTGCAATCGTCAATTTCCTAAATTGATAAAACGATGAGAGAACTTGGTAAAAATCGAAATTTCTTCCTTTTTTGTCGCGCGTCCATATCGGAATAAGACATAAAATTAAGAATTAAGAATACATTGTATTGTCTTTTCTTTCTATTTGTTGTGCAGAGGAATTGGTGAGCACTCGTCTGGCGCCGCCTATCATCACTTCCGTCCCGTCGGAATATACCGTGCAAGGCTTGTCCCTGCTGCCGACCGAGAATATCTACGAGTTCGCGGCCAAGTTGCTTTTCTTCGCTGTAAGATGGGCGAGAAGTATACACTCCTTCCTGCAAGTAAGTAGCTCTAATCGAGAATTTCTTCATTACTGCATGAGACAGTCCTAAACTACATAAGCAAACAGATTGTAATTTCCACAACACGTCTCGTCTTATATATATTTTCCGACCCAAAACTCATTAGTCTTTCTAATCGCTCTAAAGACTAGTAAACTTTAGTCTGATAAGCGTTAAGACAGACTCTTTAATTAATGTATTGTTAAGATTTTATTATTGGAACTTAGTATACACAAGGATATTTAAACAAAAAAAACCGAGGAATTCTTCTCCGGAGGTTTTTGTCGCGATGAATACAATACAAAGCTTCCGGCATGCTTCACTCAGAAATACATCACCGTTGTCTCTCTTGCAAGCTCCCTTATAGAGACCAGACTATTCTTCTGGAGGAATCGTGGAGTGAGTTATTTGTGCTGACAGCGGCGCAGTGGAACTTCTCCGTGGACGAGACCACCTTGGTACCGGTAGACTTGCCGCTGGAGCGAAGAGAAACTCTCGTCGACAAAGCTAGGAGGCTGAGGGAACTCTTAGCGAAATGCGCCGTTCTGAGGGTCGATCATTCCGAATACGCGTGTCTGAAAGCCATAGTCCTCTTCAAGGCGGGTGAGCGATATTATTCACTCTTTACGTAGGAAAAGAATTAGCCGCAGGAGCCAAAATATATCTGTGGTAACTAAGATGCGTCTACTAAAGAAAATAAATTCCTCTTATGTGTACATAATAGCAAGCTTCTTTAAAATTTCTACACGATGAGAATGTTAATTTTCTTTTCATGTAAATCCTTTTCAATTTTATTATGTTTTTAGTTATCCACAGGAATAGATTGTTAGTCGCTATCTCGTTACACTAAAAAAATGGTCTTCCTGTCAGAATTGTCATTGCTGCTGCTGTAGAATGTACGTAATCACAGACAACTTTTTAGTAGATACAGAAATTAGCGATAAATCCTAACTGTGACACTTAGAATTTTATCTGGACCAGCAAATAATTTTTTGCAGCGTAAGGAACATAGTGAATTTCATTAGAAACATATCCGATATAACAAAAGATAAACAGCACATATGAAATAAAAAGACAGTGGATTACTGCAGAATGTCAATCTATTCCTCGGTCACAAAATCCTATAGTAATTTTTACCATAAAATTCTGTCTGTGTAATGAATATATTTTACTTATCAAGAGCTATTATCAGTACTATCCACACAGCAGAGATATTCAAAATATATCGTAGGGATATCCTAAAGATATATTTGGGATATGCGATATCTTCAAGATATTCCTATGATGTATTTGGGACATTCCTGCTGTGTGGGTATTATCAGGAAAATATTTTTTGAAGCTAACCGTTGCTTAAAAGGGGGAAAGTAAACTGAGTAATCTATTAGCAAAAGAATATTTTCCTGTGTGTGTGATAGCAAACGTGTGAAAAATTGCAATTTACTAAAAAAATTAACAGATTAACTAATTAAAAAAACTAAACTAACTAAAAAAATTAATTAACACAGGATTGTTCCATTTTCTTGGCAATTTAACTGATATTTAAATCATATCTGTCTTTATCTAAATTGAAGAAAAAACAAAGGCAGACATATGATTTAACTATCAGTTACCAAAAAGTTGGAACAAAAGTTGGCCCTTATTCCTCGATTCGTTTTTTTCTCTCTCTCTCTCTCTCTTTCTCTTTCTCTTCCGCGTTTACGTTGTTTTTTGAGTGCACTCTTCAATCGTTCACAGAATCGCGAGGACTCTGCGAGCCGGGTAGGGTGTCAGCGCTGCAGGAGCAGACAGTGGCGGTGTTCTGCGAGAGGGATGCGCGCAGAGTGGGTCGATTGCTGCTGCTTTTACCATCAGCGCGTGCTCTCTGCCGTGCTACCCTACACGAATTGCTGTTCAAGCCGACGGTCGGCGACGTTAGCGTGGAGCGACTGTTGGGCGACATGGTCGGCGCCCTCAGGCCTACCTAACTGTCGGGGCGAGTGCGACTCTGAGGATATCCCGTGCGTGTGTTTTATCGACACTCGTTTATCGGCGAAGCTAACTCGGGCAGACTCAACAGATCGATCTAGGGCTGGTCGAGATAAGTATCGATATTCTCATGTGCATCTGTTATACACATACAATGGAAGAGACTTATATATAATGAAAAATGTATATCGCAGAATACTAAGAAGGATATTGGAGAAAAAGTTGATAAATGAGACAATAGGAAGCGTACAAGAAGCTATTAGGTTGATGCAAAAGATTCGTCGTGTTCGTCAAATACGAGATTATTCAGTTTCGAAGAATTAATAATTTGGAGGAGCAAAATGGGCAGTATCGACAGCAGTTTTGAAATATCTAATGGGGACTTTCTGTTTGCTTTCCAATGTTCCGACTTTTAATACGACAATTTAATAGAAAAATAATATATAAATTCTTAATTAATTGATTTTTAAATAAATAATTAATTAATTAAAAATCTTTTGCACTAATCTAGCATAAGAAAAGCTCATGTATACAAGCACATTAGAAATTAATTAATACGTTCCGTGCCAGACTAATTTTACGTCCAGGTCGCGTGGGTCAATTGTGTGTTATTGTATTTATTAAATAATAAATGCCTCACATATATAACACAAGATTTATTTCATGTTTATGAAATGTTTCTGAGTCGAATTATTAAACGGTCAGAATAGAAAATTCAGCGTGGGTGACCGATGACGCATGCGGCGCGGCGCGTGTTAATTAAGCAATTCATTTTAGAGAGCGACGCTACTCGTTCTCTTGCGAAGAGTCCAGGGAATCCAAGGAATATCGACGTTTTTCAGTATCATTGACCATCTTTAATTCGACTTTGATATCGCGTAAGTTGCACAAAGTTAGTTGTTTCAGTTTGAGATATAAGGTTATCTCTCGAGATTGTTAGTATAATTGTAACGATTTGTAATTATTGTTCTCGCAATTATTATCGGATTATGACGCGCCGTGTTGATAAAACACGTAACGATAGGAGCAAGCCCGCCGATAAAACCAAGTTTCACGATTCAACGATGCAAATTCACAATCTTCAGTTTCGTTTGAGGTAAAATTACCAATTCCCGGATTTAATCCTTGATATTCTTATTGTTTTGGTCCTTAAATACAAATATTCAAATTTTCAACATAGAATTATATACATTCAATAATATATTATATATATAAGGATTGCGAGTAATTAATTATCGTATGCAATTGACGATTGATATAAGTCAATTCAATTAGAGACCGTTCGATTTATTTTAACAAATTCAATCGAAGATTACTCAATTGAAAGAAGGGAATCAAAAGTCATTCAAGTAGCAATTGAATATAGTAAATTCACTTAAAGACCGTTTAATTGACGATTCATATAAGCAGATTCAATCGACTCAATCGAAGATTGTTCAATGACGATTGATGTGACCAGCGCTCCCTCTCAGTACGGGTCCTACTGACAGCTTCTTAATCATCGACAACTTCCACGACGCCATAATATTCCAAGCATGAATATTATTCACAAAAAACCAATTGTAACTTTAGTAATCCAGCGCTTCTCGATTAAATTGATCGAACTTGCTTATATCAGTAGTCAATTAAACGGTCTTCGATTAAATTCACTGAGTTCAATTTGCTAATTAAACGATCTTTGATTCTTTACGCTCATATTATTCGTCAATTAAACGATCTTCAATTGAATCCGTTGAAATCAGTGGTCGATTAAACAATCTTCGATTGCTTTTAATCAATCGTCAATTAGTTAAATTGAAACGTATTTGTTCATATAGCAACTATTAAATGGAGAAAAATTTAACTGATACTTTTACAACCAATACATGATGTATATTTTATGTTTTGAAAGTTTAAATATTCGTATTTAAGAACCAAAACAATAAGAATATTCAGGATTGATTACATGTTCGCGTGTTGGTAGTTTTAGCTTATTTATCGTTCATTTTTATTAATCCTATCGATTCGCGATAGATAGAATTAACGTCATTCGAGCTCGAATGTCAATTGGCGTCGGCTCTTTACTATGTGCATGCGGTATTATGTATTGACGGGCTTTGCGCAATGTAATATTTACGCACCTTAATTGGATACGTGTATATATAGTTCTGTACTAGATATAAATAATCTTTCTCTTTCCTCTTTCTCTATTTCTCTCCCTCTGCCGCGGGTCTGTCTGTATAACGCGTCGTAGAGTGAATATATTATCTATTAAAGAGACAAGAATCGATGTTCGCGTAATTTATTTAATCGACCGATTGAAAATTCCGTTTGTTTATTAGACAGATGTATTAGAAACGAGAAACTATTATCCCCGGCATTATACTCTCGCTATTGTTATCTTTGTATGTATAGTGTTAATTGCGCTAATTACCCAAGAATCATGCGATCGCAAACCGGTCATTATCGCAAAGCAAAATTGTATATTGAGAAAAAACAGTGGTTGAGTTAATGAGACTTTGTTCGAACAAGCGAAATTCGTTCGAGCAAACGTTTAATCGATTCAACGAATTATATAGTTACTGCGATGAGAGTTATCGATTGATTCAATGATTGCGATAGATCAGTAACTACATGAACGCAACTTATTGTTGCACTAACGCGTAATTTGTTCAATAAATACAACATTTCTTTGTCGATTTTGTCGATCCAATTGCTTTTTCTCTCAGAAATTAGGCAACCTTGTTCCTCAAAGTTATTCGCCATAATGATTGAACTGGAATAAATCTCTTGAGAAAAAACGATGACTTCTCTCTTCTCATCGATATAATCTTTCCGCGCGGGAGTACGTTTGATCGGTTCTCTCGCGTAAGTAGTTAATATGCCAGTTTCGTTACTTCCTGGTAAATGTTCTGCCAATGTATATCTTCCAGAGTTGTAAAGATATTAATTAAATTTTTCTCAATTTAACAGTTGATTCGAACAAATACGTTTCAATTCACTTAATTGATGATTGATTGGAGCAACAAACAATTGATAAATGTTTAATCGACGGTTGATTTCAACGAATTCAGTTGAAGATCGTTCAACTGACGATTGAACTTGGCAAATTTAATTAAAAGGCCGTTTAACTGATAATTGATACGGGCAAATTCAATTGATTTAGTCGAAGAGCGTTTAATTACTCGAGGTTATAATTGGTTTTGTAGATGATATTCATACTACTCGTATTGAGAAAAATATTTGAAAATTTATTCGTGGGATATAACATTTACTTTTATGTAAAATAAAGTTTATTTGAATAAACTTTATATTCCACAAATAAATTTTCAAGTATTTTTAGTACAAGCCACAAAAATATTTGAAAATTTATTTGTGGGATATAACATTTATTCACAGAAATTAACTTTATTTCATAAAAAGAACTTTATTTCACAGAAATAAAGTTTACTCCAAAAAAAAATCTTTTTTTCACAGAAATAAAATTTATATTAAATAAAATTCCACAAATAAATTTCCACGTACTTTCTTCTTAGTGCGTCAATGAGAAGTGCTAAGGATCTACGTAAAGGGGCGTTGGTCATATCAATTGTTATCGAACAATTTTCGATTGAATCGATTGATCTGCTTATATAAATCGTCAATTACACACCCTTTAAATTAAATTCGCTAAGTAGAATCATCAATTAAACAACTTTCAATTAGATTTGCTAAATTTAATTGTTAATTGAAGGATCTTTGATTTCCTTCGCTCATATCAATTGTCAATTGAACAATCTTCAATTGAAGTCGTTGAAATCAATTGTTAATCAAGCAGTCTCGAAATAATTTGTTGAAATCAATTGTCGAAACAGTCTCCAATTGAACTAACTCATATTAACCGTCAATCGAACACGATGATTAATTAAAAAAGTAATTAATTACTCGCAACTCTGATATGTTCCGAGAATTTACTTTGGATTTGACGTTGGAGCTCTTCTTATTTCTCATTAATAGATATTTCTACGCAATATCGTTTTCATGAGTGAAATGAAAAGAGAAAATGATCGCATCGAGAACAATTGTTATAACAATTATCGTTGGCGACGGAAGAGTCATGATGACGAGGGAACAACACACACACACTCACAGACCTTTTTTTTTTATTAACTAGAATAATTTATTTTTCTCATGGTAGAAAAAGGAGAATGTATCTTAACTCACGAACTGCATTGTACTCATATATATACAATTACATACAATCCTCAATTGAACGTTACACATAAACTCATTACACATCGATTTCTCATTACTTCTTTGTCCTCGTGAATCGACCCGAAAGAAAGAACTGCTCGCTATATTATCCGAAAATACGATTCGCCATAGTCCAGTTGTTGGCGGTTGTCGGGAAGGAAAAAACGGCTCTTCGAGTGCGAATGTGGTGTTGTCGTGTGTGATGGTGGTGGTGTCGGTGGCGTGAATCTTTTTGGCTCTTTGCGCGTGGACTGAGAGAAAGGAGACAGGGAGACAGTGGGACAGGGGTTTTCGAGAGGGATGAGAAGCTAATGCGGAAATCTGGGAACTCTCCGTGCGAAAAGGAAATCTGCCGCACGTAGGGACTGCGCGCGTGAATGTCTCTGCGTGTGTGAATGAGTGAGCGTTTGTATGAGTGTATGTATGTATTTGTTGTGTGTGTAACTGCAAAATGTAGGTGGATGGAAAGATTTTCGGATGGGCGTTCCCTCAATGCTTTCGTGACGGAAAGATTTCGAGGCTCTCTCTTTTTCTCTCTTTCTCGCTCGCTCGCTTTCTCTCTCTCTCTCTCTCTCTCTCTCTCTCACTCGCATCATCTCCGTTCGGTTCGGTATCTCCGTCTGCCGAATCGCGCGTCGCCATTCTCATTCGTGTGTAACCATTCGCGGACAATTAAGATTACTGGTAGCAAGCGGTGGTTGGAAGAAAACGAAAACACCCGACCGAGCTAAACGCGGACGATCGTCCGATTCTTGGCGAAAATCCACCCTCTCACTCGGAGGACCGAGATGTCTGAACCTGCGATTCTTCGCACGAGAAAAGCGCGAGTTTGAACTCTTCGCGGGCAGTCCCGAGTAGCACAGTCAAGATCTATTCGAAGTATACTTGTATAAAAGAGTCTGCGGCGAAATAGTCTCGAAATATATTGACCGCCTTGACGCGAAAGCAACAGCTTTTAAGCATTTTTCCTAGCGAAATCTCTAATTCTGGTCCAAAAATTCGCGAGGATTTCTCGGCCGTACAAAACAGTCGGAGGTCGTTTCTGGAATTTAGTTGTCCGTCAAACTGAACGTCTCCTCGGAAACTCTCGAAACGTTCCGCCCTGGTCGAGTTAGCTGGAGGGACACTTTCTCTCGTGCAAAATCTCTCGGTATAGAATCGCTCGGCGACGTGCTCCAAGGGAGCATCAAGTCTCGCTTCCGCTCTACTCCCGTGCCGACTCTCGTCCGGACGTTTCGCTCGAGTTTCTATCCCGTAGTCTTTATAGCATCATCTAAACACATATATTTTTACTTGCCTTATACGAACAAACGAATAAATGAAAAGAAAAGAAGAGAAAGAAGAGCTCTCTCTCGGAAATCTAAACTCTCGTGAGTTACCTGTTCTCTTCCGTGTTTCCGCGTCGCTCGCTTTACCATATACATATATATATTTATATACTGTTCTCCTTAATAGCATTTTTTTCTTAACGCGCTTACATTCAAATAGACTTTTATTAGAGTTACACAGTTAATAATTTGCATTTAATCCTGATTCGCTGCGTGTATCGTGCGTTCGCCCGTTATCTTCTCGTTCACCCGTTTATACTCTCTCTCTCTCTCTCTCTCTCTCTCTCTCTCTCTCTCTATATTTTTGTTTTGTTTTCTTTTTTTTTCATTCTACGATAACCACGATTTCTTTTCTCTTATGTGAGGAATTGTTCTCGTTCTCGCTTGCCAATGTTCGCTCACGCGCGCGTTTCGCCTCGATCCTCTCGATCCTACTCTCCACGTTATCTTTTCTTCGGCCGCGATATCGCGAGAGTTCTTCGCCAACGAACGGCAGAATTTAATCGGCGATTGCAGATCGCCATCGAGTAGTGCATTTCAAACGTGAGTTGTCGCGGGATTCTCCCTTTTCTTCGAAGCAAATCGTCGCGAAGCCGTCGCAATCGATTTTACGCCACTGTCGCAATCCGCGAGGTGTATCCCGGAAGTTTGGAAGCGCTGGACAAATTTTCGCGCGTCGAATTTCCTCGCGTCACGCTCTCTCAAGCTGGGATCGGCCGAGGTACGAGGCTAAACAGGCGCGTCAACGTTACAAAATAAAAGAAAAAGACGCGCGTACATTCGTGTTTCTTCTGAATCTCTCTCTCCCTCTCTCTCTCTCTCTCTCTCACTCTCTCTCTCTTTCTCTCTCTCCTCTACCTGTTTGCTTTTTCTTTGTTTTCTCTTTTTGCTTTCGCTGTTGCTGAACGCGCGACGACGCATCCGCCGTCGTCGTCGTCGTCGTCGTCGCGGCGTTTTACATTACACGCTTTCTCTCTTCGTTTTTCCTTTTTTTTTTCTTAAAAGATGAAAAATGAGACAAAGAACAACACAACGGCATCTCTACTATTCCCGTCCTCTATTTTAACGCTAATATGTAAGGACAAAAAACTAACAGATTTCGGCGTAATAACAAATCGCCGCGAACCGGGACGGCCGTCGGGAGAGTTCCGGGATCAGAAAATCGGCTTGCCATTGGGATTTCCTTGTCCGCGCCGAGGATTCCTCCTCCTCTCTTTCCTCTTGCTTGCCAAGCCCGGAACTCTCTCCGGCCAATCGGCCACGGCGAAATATAACAGGTTGTCGGCTCTGACGACCGTCGCTACGGATTCCCAAGGAACCCCGTCATTCTCGATGGCGATTTATCAACGATCACGCTCACGGTGTCCTGCTCGCGCGAGAGAGCCTACGATATCGTCGTTATCCTCGTCCCTCCAGGGCTAGGAAGGATTTTCCGGACAAAAGTGTCCGCGGTCCTTCCCTCCCCGAAGGGGCCAGGAATTCTCGTCATCTTATAAGATTGACCGCAACTATGCGATGCGGCGAGGAGAACTTCCGGAGAATCGACGCCGCCGGCCGAGGTAAGCGCGAAGAGGTGTTGGCAGTGATGATCCCCTTATTAATTAATATCGATATTAATCAAGGCTCCTCGCCCTTTACTTTCTACACGCCCGTGAAATTCGGCCCGCGACGTCCGAATCCCTGGAATCTCGCGGCGGTGTGCAACGACTCGTCTCTCTCAGATCTTTCACACGGTCGTCGGGAGTTCGTAGGCTGATAAATCGGACTTGGGGGTGAGTTCTCCGTCCTTAGCAGGGCGGAGAAAAATTCAGCGATCGAGAATGTCGGGGATGCCCGGGAAAGCCGCAACTTCGGCGACTCCGTACTATATACATTCGCGAGGGAGAACACCCCAGGAATGCCGGCAGCCGGAAGAAGATGGGGGCGGGACACCGGCTGTGTCCGGGGCTGCTCAACCCTCCGACAAAGCACGCGAACGCAATAATCTATTATCTCGTAATTGTTCATCATCATGTCGCTACGCTCGTGTTGCAACTATTTCTTATTGTATGAAGGGTTGGGGTGGGATGGGGTGGGATAGTGTGTTGGTGTTGGTAGTGGTTTATATTTGTTTGTGTAATTATCATAATTGTCGCGCGTTGCTATGACTGACTGTTCGTTTCGTTCTGCACCGGTGTGTGCAAGTAAGCCGGTGTTCGAATCCGCGACTCGCAAGTCTGCCGGCGACGATGGGCGCGCAGAGAATCGCTCCCTTCTGAGCGATAATTAAACGAGCTGATCATTATCATGAATATTGCTCTCGTGAGCGCGCTCTGCCCGGCTTCCTTTGTAAACGCGCTTTTTCCCGTCGCGGGGGAGAACGAACGGCTCGGGCGGACTTATCGATTTGCGATAGGATACCTATAGAGTCCACAAAGATAGACGGAGCCGTTGTAATCTTCGCGACTGTGATTTCCGATTGAAGCGTTCTCTTGCCTCTCTTTTCCTCCGTCTGTAATAAACCGCGATCGCGCAGCGAATGAATCTGCATCGATTGCAATAAGTGACTCGATTCTGAAATATTACAACATTGAGACTCGCATTAATAATCGCTACTTGAAATTTGCCTCATGTGAGATATTCAAACTTCAATTCAGAGTTAGATTCAAGTTTTTCAGTTGGATTATGATATACATTTATATCTATAATCGTGAT